CCGAGAAATTCAGCCTGTATATTTCTTCAACTATCGTATATACTGAATGAACCCCTGCGAAGAACCATGAGTTTGATTTTTTCTCATACCATCCTCAACATCTGGCTTAGCACTGATTTTCGAGTAACACATTTTTAATAAGTTTTTCAAAATTATTTTATCAACAAAACCAAAATCAATATTTTCATATCTTACTTCAGAATAGTACCACAACATTTTATAGTACTTATGCAGATTCTATAGGTCCTAATATTAACATTTTAATTGAGTCGCCATAACGGAAAAGTTTTCCCAGTATATTGGTATAAAATCAGTTAATATTTCAAAGTTTTAACTGAATGTGAATTTAAATTAGATGGAATTTCAAATGTATTATTCCTGCATTAATGAAGAATACAGCTCTAGAAGTAAGTAAAACCCTTTTCTGTTTTTTAATAAAGGGCGGGAAATGATACAGATGTCTGTCAGCGGGAAATACAATTACAGGATGCCTACCAATTTAACATACATCAAAATCTAAAACTTAATTATCAAAAGATAAAATATCCGAAAAAATACTGGGAGAAGCTTTTGTTATGTGACAAATGAATAAATATTTTCTCAAGAGGCTTTAGTTCTTTTTTTAATGTTGTGTTTAAATTTACAGTAAAAAGTCATAAATATTAGCCCAATCTATTAGTAAAAATAATGTTAAAAATTCATTAGAATTCTATTTTTTCAGAAATCAAGAAAAGTATGTCAAAAAAGTTAAATGCAAGGCTGTTGTCACTTTCTGTATGCTATACAGGGTGATTCACAAATGGTGACCAAAAATGAAACCTCGTATTCTTTGGTGGATTTTAACGGGTCTTTCCTGTAAACGTCAAACTTCAAAAAATATTTTTAATTTTTTTAAATAATTTAAAAACTAGTAATTTGACATTGGGCACGTATTTATGTAAACATTGTCCAAAATCTGAGGGCAGTGGCATATGTTTCTAAATAAAATAGTACTCCACTGCTTTACGGTGACAACCATGATATTTTCGGATTCGTCTTTCAATTTTCAACAAATTACTGTTCTCTTATGTTTTTCGAAAAAAGCCTGATTTTGGAGTAAACCTTAAAGAACACACTTCGATATTTGAATATAATGCTTTTTAAAATTACGTAGTGGGCTGGGATAGCAACTTTGACAATTTGAGCTGTTAGAAGAAAGAATAAATAATTCATTTCATCAGATTCAAGCAACAAAAAATTCCGAACATTCCGAATTCCGAACATTTTCGTTACTAAAAAGATGTCAGGTCTGGATTTGTGGAAATTGAATTATTTTTGAACATATACTCAAATAAATTCATTAAAATGATGACTAATGTTATTAATTCCTTTATTCGAATAAATAACCGAATGATTAGAGTTTGTCAGGTCATTTAAGTAAAACTGTTTCAGTTGGTTTTTTATGTTTTACTCGAAAATCAGGATTTTTTCGAAAACCATAAGAGAGTAGTAATTTGTAGAAAATTGAAAGACCAATCCGAAAATACTATGATTGTTACCGTAAAGCAGTGACGTACTATTTTATTCAGAAAAATATGCCACCGATACCCCGTATCTCCGCCTCCGGAGCATTAAATTTTAGGAAAAACCTTCAGATTTTAGACAATGTTTACATAAATATATGTGCCCAATTTCAAATTATTTCACTTAAAAGTTTTTAAATGATTTAAAAAAAAATAAAAATATTTTTTAATTTAGTAATATAGTTTATCTCCACTTTTTAACGAAGCGTCCTAGATAACAAGTTTATAGCAAAGGCTCCCTTTAAAATTTACCTAAGAATATGAGGCTTCATTTTTTGGTCACCATTTATGAATCACCCCGTATAACATATAGAAATATCTAAGGGAAGAGTTCCCAGGTAAAAAGTATGTAAAAGTGTTCCTATTAAAATCTACAATATTTAATTCTGCGACGTGCATAAAATTACAGTAAGAGATCGTGATGTTAGTAAAGAACAGAGTACGAATTAGCTCAAATTGTTCACATTACCCAAATAATATTGGAAATCTAATTTGAAAATAGTGTTATCAAAATTTTATTTTTAATTCAAACAGTTAACAGGAGTGTGACAAAAAATTGGATATATGACTTTTGTCATTGATTCATGCATATATACTATATCAAAGAGAAAAAATTGAAGGTGAACTTTTCTAATAGGCTACAGAATACGGTTCTGGAATTTGGCCTACTAATAATTCCAATGTTTAAATAAAATGAATTTTAATAAAAATTCAAAAATCACCTTGGATTTTTTTTATAGGTCATTCTGGACTCGCACATTACCTCAATCTAAGGCTATTACATATTAGGCTATTGACTATGTCAAAAAAAGAGGGTACAAAGGAACTACAACGTAACAGAAATTTTATTGTTTGATATGTTCAATTGACCCTAAAAAATGATAAAACCGCGGAGTGCTACCTTTTAAAGGGGTGCGTTTCTGAGAACGAAGTAAAAAGGTGGTATTTTCAGTTTTTTGAGTTTTACTCGAAAACTATGCATTTTTTCGCTATAGTTGTCAGCAGAAAAGTTATAGCAAATTGAATTTCCAATTGAAATGAGACTTTTTGAAGTCAAAAAATTTTATTTTTAACAAAAATATGCCCAAAAAACGAGTAAAAAAACGAAAAAATGGCGTTCTTTTTCTTTTTGGTTTTTGGCCCACAACTTTTTTCTGAGAGGAGTTAGGTATAGGCATTGCTTCACAGAAAAAAAAGTTAATGTTTTTTCCTTTAAAATAAGCCTTTATAGAAGTACCTACGACTAATAGAAACCGAGGTACATTGGATCAAAGTTGGCTACTTTTTGGATTTTTGGCCAATTTTTGCCCTTTTTTGACGATTTTCGTCTTATAACTTTTTTCTGAGTTAATTTAGGTATATGTAATGCCATATTCAAATGAAAGCTGGTTTCAAGACCTTTAAAATGGTGCCTGGTAGAAGTTTGTACAATTAAAATCAACCGAGATATGTCAATTTAACCAACGATACTTTTTCTTTTTTTTATAAAATTTTTATTACTTTCGGTATTATTTTGTCTAATAAATTTATTTTTGTGAATGTGAAAGTTAAAATAAGTTTCTAGGTGATTGAATATTATTATTTATTTATTTAAACAACAATTAATCATATTTATCTTGTAAAATTTCGAATTCTTTTAATTATTTTTGTACTTTTAATTAAAAAATTACAATTACAAAAAAATTTTTCAATTTTGTAAATAAGAATTTTTCAAAATTAAAAAATTACCTCGATGTATTTTTACTTGAAAATGCTAGTGTTGAGGATATCACTGCTGCATCTGAATGCATTGTAACTATAATGTATAGTTAAAAAATTGACAGCCTAAAAACTTGTCGATATAAATTATTTCAAAAGTATTCAACAAGTGCAAAATTTACCTTATCTCGATTGCCTTCAACAACTGATGCTCTCAAACATCATGGGTTCAGAGTATATTTTCAGATGCAACAGTGGAATGGTTGTACTTTAAATCCCCTTGATTGGGGTTGGAAAAATTCCATAAATGGGCTAGTTCCCATTTTTAATAATAAATCTCCTGCACCTGAAAATTTACTTGAAAAAATAGCCTGTAAATGTATTAAAGAATGCAAGGGAATAAATTGTGAGAATGCTTATGAGCCTGATTTTTCTGAAGAGGACATTGATGAAATTGGTGACGACGAAATTGATATTAATATTGAAAATATAGTAAATGAAACTGAAAATTTATAAGATATATATGATTTAACTATTGTTTAAATAAATAAATAATATCCAATCACCTAGAAACTTATTTTAACTTTCACATTCACAAAAATAAATTTATTAGACAAAATAATACCGAAAGTAATAAAAAATTGATAAAAATAAGAAAAAGTATCGTTGGTTAAATTGACATATCTCGGTTGATTTTAATTCTATAAACTTCTACCAGGCACTATTTTAAAGGTATTACATATACCTAAATTAACAGAGAAAAAAGTTATAAGACGAAAATCGTCAAAAAAGGGAAAAAATTGACCAAAAATCCAAAAAGTAGCCAACTTTGATCCAATGTATCTCGGTTTCTATTAGTCGTAGGTACTCCTATAAAGGCTTATTTTAAAGGAAAAAACATTAACTTTTTTTTCTGTGAAGCAATGCCTATACCTAACTCCTCTCAGAAAAAAGTTGTGAGCCAAAAACCAAAAAGAAAAAAAAACGCATTTTTTCGTTTTTTACTCGTTTTTTGGGCATAATTTTGTTAAAAATAATTTTTTTTTTGACTTCAAAAGGTCTCATTTCGATTGGAAATTCAATTTGCTACAACTTTCCTGGTGACAACTATATAGAAAAAATTCATAGTTTTCGAGTAAAACTCAAAAAACTGAAAATACCACCTTTTTACTTCATTCTCAAAAACGCACCCCTTTAAAAGGTAGCACTCCGGGGTTTTATCATTTTTTAGGGTCAATTGAACATATCAAACAATAAAATTTCTGTTACGTTGTAGTTCCTATCTAAAGTACATAGTCAATAGCCTATATGCAGTTTGGTCTGAAACACCTTGTTAAAAAAGGTTTCCTTATTTTTTATATACCATCCATCTTAAAATATTGTAAGGCAATTTAAGAACATCCGTATACATAGAGGAAGTTGTTAAGATTTTTTCACCAAAGAATACTTAGTTCCATCTATTTATTTTTCATTACCAAGTGAGGACACCACTAAATCTTCCTGCTGTATGGTTCATTGACTAAAAAGTATTTAATTACTAAATTATTATCAATCTTTTATGACCGTTCAGGCAACGAAGAAATTTGCGTGTACAGACAAGACAACCTTACGATGTCACGTGCAAAATGGATCTTGACGGCATCGGCTAGGTTATGTACTACAATTTTAATATAAAACGAACAAAACTGACAAATTTATCAGTCAATTTTCAACTGCTGAAACAGTGCCGATATGACCAAAATGAATTCCTTCGTAAGTATTCTTCAAAAATAGTTTTACATATTTATAACCGTAATTTCTTTCTCATAGGTCCTTGTTGCTCTTTTCGCCGTCTTTGCTGCTGCTAACGCGGGAATACTACCAGCTGCCCCATTGGTGTCTACCTACGCTGCCGCTCCAGTGGTTTCAGCTTACTCTGCTCCCTTGTTAAGTACAGGACTAGTTGGTGAACAAACTGTAATAGCAGGACCTTCAGGAACCATCGCCACCGGAAAGACACTTGCCGCTCCCACTTTGACAGCTTACACCGCCCCCGCTGTGGCTGCCTACGGCGCGCCCATTGTGTCGTCCTATGCTGCTCCCGCCGTCATTGCCCGCACCATCTGGTAAGGGCCGTAGTTGAAATGTAGACTGATTTATAGTAAAATAAATTATTGATTATAAAATGTATCTGATTTTTTCCGCAATGAATTTATAAATAACAATTATATGATTCATTTATACAGGGATGGCCAGAAGTACGGAATAAAATTCATATCTTTTGAATGAGTTAATTTTTTTTAAAACGCCGAAACACACATTTACTGATTTTGATTTTTTCCCATCTTTCGGTTATATAATAATTAATTTTTCTTTATCCCGCTAACCCCCAGCTACCCCTACTTTTTTTTCAAATGGATACATAAGGCATGAGGGGCTCGTTGAAAAGCTTATAGAAAATTGAATCCAGCCATACCAAATAAACAAGTTTTATTTTTTCAATAGCAAGGTTTTTAGGGTTGTATAAAACACCTACTTAACAAGTGAAATAAAATTTAATTATCTTCAGTGTTATCCTCCATGAATTTGCACAGAATAAAATAAAGAATTTGAAACTGTACCTATCACTGCTAACGCAAAAAAGATATATTTTTTATGTTGCGTTTTTTTGGCACCACTTACTTGCCAGGCTTTCTGGTTAATTTTTCGCTTTAGTTGTAAATTGGAGTTCGAAACGTTACTATTGTGTCAAAATCAAGTTATTTACTGAATTGCAATGGTATTGTCGGAAAGGCAACGCATCGAAATCTTGATATTGCTTGGATGTGGAGACAAAATAAGAAGTCAGGCTGAAGTGCGCGATTTATTTAATGCGAAATATCCCGAAAACCAAATCTCGCAAGGGACAGTTAGTAAAATATTTCACAAATTTGAGGAACACGGTACAGTACAGACTTTGCCCAAAACTGGACGGGCACGTGCTTTGAATGAAGAAAAGAAATTAGACATTGCATTAGAACTTGTTGAAAATCCTCATACTTCAACTGTTTCATTGGCCCGCAATCACGATGCTTCTCGAACTGCAATTCGAATGTTTCTGAAACAAGAGAAATACCACCCCTATAAGGTATGTCTTGTCCAAGAGCTTTTGGAAGACGATTATGATAGGCGATTACAATTTTGTGAGGAAATGATGAGACGGTGTGACGACAATAATGGTTTTCAACGAGACGTACTTTTTTCGGATGAAGCTACGTTTTATTTAAATGGAGTGGTTAACAGGCACAACTATCGCTTTTGGTCCCAGGAAAATCCACACTGGACATGCGAATCGCATACGCAGCATCCACAAAAAGTTAATGTATGGGCAGGTATCATCAACAACAGAATCTTGGGCCCATTCTTTTTTGAAGAAAATCTTACTGCCGCACGCTACCTGGATTTCCTAACATTTGACCTGATACCTGCTCTAGCTGTGATTTTCCCTCATGAAATTGATCCAGATATACCGAATGAAAGAATTTGGTTCCAACAAGATGGCGCTCCCCCACATTTTGGTATTGATGTTCGAAGATACTTAGATGAAATGTTTCCAAATCGCTGGATTGGTAGACGGGGTACAGTAGAATGGCCGCCAAGATCCCCCGACTTAACACCCCTGGATTATTTTCTTTGGGGATATCTGAAAGAAAGAGTCTACCAGGACAGACCGGATAATATTGAGAATTTAAAGAACAAGATTAGGGCGGAGATGCATAATTTTCCAGCTGAAGTCATTCAGAATGCTGTGGATAGCTTTTACTATCGTCTTGGAGAATGCCAAATAGGGAATGGAGGACATTTTCAGCATTTGCGACATTCAGTTTATTTTTGTAAATTATTTTGTTGTCTCAATTTCTAAATGAAAAAAAACTTGCTATTGAAAAAATAAAACTTGTTTATTTGGTATGGCTGGATTCGGTTTTCTGTAAGCTTTTCAACGAGCCCCCTAATGCCTTATGTTTTCATTTGAAAAAAAAAGTAGGGGTAGCTGGGGGTTAGGGGGTTGAAGAAAAAATTAATTATTATATAACCGAAAGATGGGAAAAAATCAAAATCAATTAACGTGTTTCGGCGTTTAAAAAAAAATTAACTCATTCAAAAGATATGAATTTTATTCCGTACTTCTGGCCATCCCTGTATACAGAGTGGGAATATTAAAATTCTGTAACTTAATAAATAAAGGTTAGTCGTAAAATTCATGAAACACGTCAATTTTTGTTACTGAAACTACTTTAATTCAAAAAATTAAGTGCCCTCCACCTTGTTACTGACAATACCCTAATCGATAATAAAAGGCATTTTGTATCACTTCCGGTGTTACTTGCCTAATCATCATCTCTGATTCTTTGTTGGAGCTCGGCGATGTGATTAGATTTAGTAGTATAGACCTTGCTTTTTAAATATCCCCTATTAAAAAATCTAATGAAGTAAGATCGGGTGATCTTGCTGGCCACTCAATTGGGCCCCAAAAAAAGTTGGTGCAACCCTCCAAATAATTAAGAAAATTAATAATCCTCTTTGTAATATGCCCCATTGAAAATAAAAATTGACGTATTTCAGGAATTTTGCGACAAGCCTTTATTTATTGAGATACAGAATTTGTTCCACTTAAACTTTCCACCCTGTATTGTTTTATGGTTAAATAAGTTTGACTCAAAAAATTTGTTAAATGTAAAATGTTAAACTTTTGAGGATATAATAATCAATTACCGGTTAAAAATTTCCGAAAAATTAGATGCTGTTAAGAAAACGATTCCGTTTATTTTTAAAAACCGAAATATTACTGATAATTGAATTGTTAAAATTTAGGATATACTGGGTTTTAGATTTTTATATATAAATATATTATCATATCTTTAAAATCAATAACCTTTAAAAAAATATCCGACCATCTCTGCTGCTAAAAGAAGTTATTAAAGATATTAAATATGTTTATAATGATCAAAAACATGTTGCTCTGAAATCAGAAGCATTAATCGTGGAATCTAACTATCGTCTTTTAGTTGAATTTGAAAAACAATATTTTCTTCTGAAATCGGTTTTAATTTGCTTGCATGTTGTAATTTGGTTGAAAAACGTTATTTGTTTTCTTTTAGTTCTAGAAATAATATTTTTTTTGTCATTCTTTATCCGTAGAGAATAAAGATTTTTATTTATTTTTGCTATTTTAAATAAAAAATTACACAAGTATAAGTAAATACTTTTGCTAATTTGTGTTTTAGCTCTACTAATTTAGAATTGAGGGCATATCGGTTCCAAATGTAATTAATTTTGTACAAATGATTGTTATTACAGCAAAGAATATATTTAGAAAAATATTAAGGTAATAAGAATTTTTCCAGGTGTTTTTATTTTGAGTTTATGAAATTTTTCCATTTTTCATGTATTTCCAATATTTTGTTTCGGAAAAAAAAAGATTTACCTCAAATTAACTCGTAAAATTAATATCAAACCAATATTTGTTTTGAAGTTGACAGTATTGAATTATTATTATTTCTTCATTTTCTCAGTTTTCGAAATAAATATGATTCACTTGAAATTTATACAACTTGGGATAAATACCGTACCTATATATTTTTTAGAGCTTTCTAATTACATCATAAAATAAAAATATGTTAAATATGAAACCTGTACTTTTCCTTTCTCATTTTAATCTCATTTTTGACATCAAAAATATAAATAAATATGGGTTGTGATGTCATTAAACGGAAATTTCAAATCCAGGGCCAATTTAGGATTTTCAGAATATTTTAGTTTATTACAGTAGTATCATGCGTGCGTCAACATCATTCTTTTCACATTTTCATTCCCTATGTTAACTCAGTAAACTGACAAACTAATAAATATAATCTATTATAATAAAACAATATCCAGTTTCACATTCAAATTAATACATAATTATGATTAGAAGAAATTCCAGATATTAGTAATTACCGATATATAAATAAAAACATATTTTGGTAAATATCCTCAGATCGATGAAATATTAATTAAAAATCTATAGTTATCAAAACTTGCAAATATGATCTTAATTGGCGTTTTCGGTATATACCTAAGTTACTTTTAGAAGTAGAAAGAAGTGGTAGAAGTGTCTTTCAAACAAAAAGCCCTGTAATTTGTGACAACTAGCCCGATGTGACAATGCACGATATCCTTTCATTTCCTTCAATTATTTATCAAAGAAATCATCGAGACCTGTAGCGGAAAAATCTAAAATTCAGATGGAAATTTGTCGTCTTATTAATATTAATTTAAAGGCATTACATTTATTTAATTGGAAATAATTTGTATTCATTAAAATTGCCTATAGGCATACATACAAAAACATATTAGATGTATTAGAAAAAAATGGCGTTAAATATATTTAAATTATGCCGCAATTCTCTCGATGGCGTCTAGACTACAGACCCAATTACTTGTATAAATTTATCACAGCTACAATCTAAAGCGGAACAGTTTTTTTACAGCTTACTAAAATCTAGTTCCGTCACATTGATTAGCAACTGTTCCCATGAAACGAGTTGAATGAAAACAAATGGTGATCACTGATCAGTGTTAACCAATGCTAGTAACTGATTAATGTGTCCACAAATCACATGATAATATGCCAACACCTCTACCACACAGTTCGTAAATTTTAAAAATAACCCTTGTGTGGATGGATAAACCTTACTCCTTTAATTGATTTATTTCCTTATCAAATGCATATAATATTTATAATTTGGTGAATTATTATTCATATTTGTGTTGGCCGTTATATTTTAGAGTTTGAAAAAGAATAAACAATATTTGGAATATAATAGGTATATCTAATTATTGTCTGTAACTGTTTATTTTTTTAGCGCAAGCGTTTTAAATTCTTTTTCATTTAATTGGGTAGTTTGTAATAGCTACTGACAGTATAACTTCAACATTTGAAATGAATAACGCCTTAAGCTAAAAAGATAGGTAAAGGGTTTAATTTTATAAACTTAATGATAATAAGAAATTTCTAACAATAAGAATATAAATGATTAATTATTACCTAAAGAGTTGATTTTGTGAAGATAAATCGGCTTTTTGAATGCGAGATGTTTATGGTCAAGCAAAAATACATTTATATTTTTTTTTCTGCAAAGCATTATTTATGTCAATTTTTTTTATATTTTTTATTAAGATTTGCTACTTTTTATGCAACTGTGAATTTCTGCCACACTGAAAAGAAACATTTTTAAATAAATAACTCGTTATGGTCGAATTGGTGAGGGGTTCATTTTCTTAATTTAGTTTTGTTCAACCAAAAATATATCATACTGAGAAAGTAGATAATAATTCTTGATTACGCAATAGACACTACTACATTATGCACAGTTGACTTTTAAAAAACGTGTGTAAAAACCTAATATTAAACTAAGTATACGATTTTCAGATAGAAAGTATTTATAGAAGATGTAACTTTAAGTGGTTTACAGTTTTTTAAGAAGTCACAGTAGGTGTTCCCCTGAGCACGAATCTGAAATTATTTTTTTTAATCAAATAAATAGTCCAGTTATAATTAGTTTCTAGTGCATTATACAGCGTTGCCAGTTGTATTTAAGTCAGCCTTGCGAAATTGCAATAAAATATAATTAGTAAAATAGATTGCTTTTGTACTTATACTTATATTATTTTAAAATTACCATATTTTTTTTTTGATATCACTGTGGTCGAAGCGCTGAACATAAAAAACATTACCAAATTATCAAAAATTATCAAAAACTTAAAATATTGGTATGTAATTGTAATAGTAATTGTAAATATATATTTTTTAATTAACACAGCGAAAATAATGAAAAATAATTATTCCTTTCCTTTAAATTGTGAAATTTGACAGCAATGCATAATTCCTAATTATTTTGCATGCGCTGTATCTAACCCGCGTTGTTGTTTGAGATGACACTAACTTGTCCAAATAAAGGGTTAAAAAGAAAATGAAGTTTCTACGAGCGAATTTGAAAAAATAAACTATTGATACATGTTTTTATGATCCCCCACTTAAAGTTGCATCCTGTGTATACAAAACAATGAATATACCTATCTAAAAATGAACTAAATCTAAGATATTTTTCAACTCTCAATTATTCTTTTACTATACCTTAAGGGCTCAACTAAGTGGTGTGTTAAATAATGTAATCATTCAAAAAAATATCTTGTATTCATGATGTTCTTTCATTACCCTTGACTACTAAACATGTAAAAAAACAGCTACTTACAGTAGCTGTTTCTTTACATGATATTGTTTCCACATTTTACTTGGAAATAAAAATATCTCTTTGTAGTAGTTATTTTTTTCGTGATTAGTTTAATTTGTTTGATTGCGTTATTTAATAACAATTTGTGTACGTGTTTTGGCGTTAATTATACTTACACATATCATTTTTAGTTTTTATTTTAGATGATTATTTATTTGTAGTTGTTTACTAGGTAGTGTTGTGATGTATTTCAGTGCTAGATAGTGCAGTTGTCTCCTGCAATATCAGCAGTTAGGATACTTATCTGTGAAATTAGATATCTTTTGCATATTTAGATTCCTAGTATTCCAAGAATATTTTATTTTGTAGTTCATTTAATAAAAATTTTTTGGAAAATTTTTTTTGACTTTCTTTGAATTAGATTAACACATTTAAAATAGAATTTAAAAAATGCGAGAATTAATAAAATGTGTGCTTTTCTTTTAATTCAAATATTTTTCTAACCCTAAGTTGATCACTTCTGTCTGTTAATTATGTTTCTGTTTTCACATTTTTTCTGTCAATTTGTTTGCAATGCACCCAATTTTGTAATCTGGGAATTATCTCACGAAAAAAAAACAGCATTTGTTCAATTTACTATTTAATAATAATTTATGTCCTTAAAAGATCAGTCACATATCAACTAAAACTTTACCAGATGGTACGGGCGACAACACCGTGAGCGGCATAAGGGGACACAATAGGGGCGCTGTAGGCAGCCAAAGCGGGAGCGGCGTATGCTGAAACGGCGGGGGCGGCAAGGGTCCTTCCAGTGGCGATGGTTCCTGAGGGTCCTGCTACTACGGTTTGTTCACCGACTAATCCAGCGCCTACTAAAGGAGCAGAGTAAGCTGAAACTACAGGAGCGGCGCCATAGGCAGATACCAAGGGAGCACCTGTCAGTAATCCTGCATTAGCAGCGGCAAAAACGGCGAAGAGAGCAACAAGGACCTATGATAAAGATATTAGTCATAAATACGTAAAACTATTAGGCGAGTATCTATACTTACAAAGGAGTTCATCGTGACTGTAGTTTAGTTTCAGCGGCTGAAAGTTAACTGATATCTTTGTGTCACCGAACCGGTCTTTTTATACTAAGATTTGTTAGATCAACCTTGTCTTTAGGATATATTATGCAAATGACGCATGGGAACATTATACTAACATCTTGCAAATTCGACAATTTCATTTAGGTACTTTGAATATAATTTTTTTTATTAAGTGAGAAATTCTTACCTGGAATACAAATCACAACTAGTACATACGTGTGAAATATATTGTTATGAAAATATTATTTTGATTTTAAGTTTAGGTATACGTTATGAAAATATTAAATTTGCAAAAATGTGTGTGACACGATTTTGGTACCTGCAAAACAGTTACCTCTAATAAATTTCTATTAGTTACAGTATGTAGGCAGTGGATGTCTTTTGCTTTTATCACGTCTTGTTTTTGAGATAACTTGTTTAACATCCCTCATTTTACTCATATTGGTAAAAGTTATCATTATTGACGAAATATGTTTGTTTCATATTAATATATTCGTGAGTAACTATTTGTGAGTGCAATTGTACAGTTTTTCAAGATAAATACTGAAAAAAGTGGTCGTCGCTACTTCAAAAATTCACCAAACAAGTTTTGCTACGTGTGTGAACAGTACATTCTTAAGTCGCAAGGAAAAAAGGATCTGAAAACGTACGCAATACGTATTTCCTATATTTTAGACGTATTGTGCATCAAGACAAGTCCTAGATTCCGCAACTGTTTTGCGTATCATGTTATGTTACTCTCCCGTCTTGGCTGAAAACAAAACATCCATGCCATTTGCTATACCGATATTGTGGCGCAAACCCAGTAATGACTACAATAATTACCTACTACTTTTCTATGGCCGACATACGAGAATTTTCCAAGAAAAAAGAAAATCAAGCATAATATTGAGTACTCTACTGTCAATTCTGTATCGAAACCAATAGATCATAGTGAAGTCATGCCTCCTCCTTTGTCTCCTAATAAAAGTCGGAGTGTAGATATAGATATACCGAGCAACAAAGATAACGATGGTGAAGATATGGAAGTCAAATATGGTGACTGACTGGGTGTTCACTTTTTCATTTTTTTACTCATAATTGTTAGTAAGCGTACCCAAAAAATAGTACGTGTTAGAAAAAAATACGTGATAATCTTATTAGACGATAAGTATAAATAAATAAACAGGAAAATTTGAAGAGGTAGGTACTTAACATTTTTCAAATTTGTAATGCAGTGTAATAAGCAGCTGTAAGTATAAATAAAGTAAGATAGACAAAAATGTTCGTCGCAATCATTCACATAAAATAATAAATTTCATTTATTTGAGGCTGGCGTTTTATACACAAGAAATCAATCTCACTTTTAGTAAGACAATGATAAAACAAGAAAATACAAAAAATCCTATAATAAATTCATGTATAATTTTATTTTCAAAGCAAGCTTTTAGTGACGTCATTTTATTTTCGTTTTCTTGTCAGCAAACCCTTTCATTTGATACTCATATCATGGGGGTGCATAAGAAATAGCTGGACCGTCATCTTTGGGAGTCCGCCATATTGGATTTAGAATGACGTCACTTAGCTAACCATGCATTGTCGTACAAACTAAACGTGTAAAAGCTTGTAAAAATGTTAAAATACAACTATTCCTATAAGTTTCCGCAGTGAAAGATTACGAAAAACATGGGCACCGACGTAAACATCGGAATGTAGGTACCTTTCCTGTTTGGTCGAGAATTTTGTAAAAACACTCAATAGTAGTGATTAATTAAAGTACTAATAGTTTCATAAAAACATTTTGCGGGGTGTGAATATGTTCACAGTAGGTATACTGTACGCGATTTTAAGTATATTCAACAGGCGTGTAAAGTTTAGGAAATTAATGATAAACATAAGAAGTAAAAATGTTTTTTTCCTTATTCTGAATATATTGCCAGCTTTTAAACTATCACACCCTGAAGAAAAGTAGGTATAATTGGTGTAGTAAACAGGTATTGTTTCTATCTTGCTTAGATTTCTTAAAATTTTCATAATTGTTATGAATTCACTGAAAATTACGCATAAAAATGCCCCCTTAACAATTTTAGTATGTTACCATAACTTCTGAATTTGGGCACATTGCATACATCATCGTCAAAAATTATGAAGCGCCACTAGAAAAAGGATAATTGTTGCCATTTTTGAAATGCAGATAAATATAAATGTTGAATTTACTTATATAATTTTACAAAATATGTTCATAATTCCTTGCTCAATACACTTTTTGATACATCTTCTTTCATATACTCTTACTTTCTAACAAATTACTCCATTTTGTGAATCTGCTAACATTTTTCTTTTCAAAGCTTTAACATCCTGTATTTAAAAAATGGAGGATTTTAGTTTGAATATAATTTAAAACGTTTTTAAATCTCAGCTCAGTAAAATTGCTTAATTTATTACCCTTTCAATATTAACTGTTACTTATTACTGTGTTCTTTGCAATTTCTATTGTAGGTGTTTACTTAAGATAAGATTTAGAAGAATTATCAAACAATTTTAATAAGAAATCTTTATATTCTATCGTAAAATAAATTTGTCTTATAATGTATTGTAGAAGATGAGTAAGACTTTTTGTGTTTTTTTATCTGTAGCCGTTTCGAAGATACTTTCAGTGTCCCCTACAGGGATCTAGAAATAATTAAAAGTTAATAAATTGTGATATTAGTCATGCAAGAATAACAGATTTTTGTTTTTCCATAGCATCCTAAAATAACCAACAAACGTTTGATAGTAGCCTCCACATATACAATTATATAAAACATATTTGTTTGGATGAAAAATATCAAAGAATACAAAACATTCTCAGGAGTTACTCTTGCATGACAAAAAATTGAAATATAATATCTTCTTTAGAATAAAAATTTGCTTGAGAAAATTGAAAAATTAATGTAATTTAATGCACGGCGCAATTTTTCTTTTTTTTTTTAATTTATAATATGGATTATCCATTTATCCCGTAGGAAAAATCTGATATTGTGACAGCTTCCAGCCTCACTCGCAAAGCGCGTCAAATTTGATTTTTTTGTGTTAAGATACTGTACTATAAAAACGAGACTCCTTTCGAGAATTTTAACACCTGTATCTCTCTTACAGGGCCTCAAAAAGAAAAATGCGAAGACAAAGTGGCATTAGTTCTTGACGTCTTGTCACCACCCGAAGTTATTCAGGCAAAGTCTAACTCACCCTGTATATAAATAACATACCGTTAAATAAATATATGCCACCTATTTAAATAAAAGGAAAAATAGATTTTAACTTTTTAGTCATATGCAGGAAACAAATAAATTTGGGTGTTCGGACAAGACAAGTTTATGGTGTCACGCGCAAAATGGATTTTATTGACAAGGTTGCGCACTAAATTTTAATATAAAATGATCTGGTTCTCCGACAACTGTATCAGTTAACTTTCAGCTGCTGAAACAACACCGATAACTTCAAAATGAACTCCTTCGTAAGTATACTTATAAAATACTTTTACGTATTCATCACCGTAAAACTTTTTCTCATAGGTCCTTGTTGCTCTTTTCGCCGTATTTGCTGCTGCTAACGCAGGAGTACTACCAGCCACCTCTTTGGTAACTGGTTATGCTGCCGCTCCAGTAGTTTCAGCTTATTCTGCTCCTCTAGTAGGCGCTGGATTAGTCGGTGAACAAACAGTAGTAGCAGGACCATCAGGAACCATCGCAACAGGAAAGACCTTTGGCGCCCCCGCCGTTGCAGCATACGCCGCTCCCGCTGTAGCTGCCTACAGCGCTCCTGCTGTCGCCGCATACGGCGCTCCCCTAGTGTCCTCCTATGCCGCTCCCGGTCTTGTAGCCCGCACCATCTGGTAGAAGTTGTAGCCGAATTTTGACTGATTTTTTAGGAAAATAAATTATTAAATAGTAAATTAAACCTCTTGTTTTATTTTATCAAAAATAGGTTTTGTTACTCATCGAATCAAAAGATTGTTAAGGTGGCCATATTCCCGGCCGAGAAATAGTGAAATTTCTGGCGTTTTTAGGTACTAAAATCTTTAAAAGTAAAACGTGTAGAACAAAAGTAAGCACAAAAATAAAATCCTTGATGTTTTGTTTATTCATTGTTACCATTTAAATTTACTCAAATAAAATAATAACTAAAAAAAAAGCGTTTGTAAAACATGCGTTTGCTGTTATTCTAACCCCACATTTTAAGAATTATTTTCACGTACTTATAAATAAAAGTAAACAATTTTATATGTAGGACTAAGCAAGTAAATGTTATAAGAATATTTACATGTGGAATTATATATAAAAAAGTTAGTATTTTCGTAGATTTCAGTACCTAAAACCTTGATGGTTTGATCGTTTTTTGCACCTGTTTATTCGTTTTACTGCGGCGTCTTTGAAAATACTCAGGTGGCTGACATAACATTCCTTTTATTTGATAAGCTTTAGATTATTCAGTTATTAACTGTTTGAAATTATTTGTCTTTGCGGAAAACACTATTTAAAGAATATGGGGCCCTGTGGTGATTAGAAAATATTTGGCCAGATATTGTCTGAAGTTATTACAAGCATAGTTTTCATTTTTCATAAATGTATTACATATTTTGTAATTTGTAAAAAAAAATATTTATAGAAACCCTCGTGGCAGGGTTATTTTTTATGAAAATAATTTTGCATATCTAAAAATTTCTAACTGAAAAAAGCAAACAAATAGAAAATACACGCATACTCCAATATTAAAAAAAATAGCTCATTAGGTAGTCAAGATAAAATTTGGTGATTTTGGAAGCGTATACAGGGTGTCCTGAATTTTAGCCATGAACATTTAGGAATCTATATTGGTAGAAAAAATCGTAGTACTTTAGCTTATTTTTAAAATCTCTCCGTTTTTCAAGTTACAGGGCATTATAAATTTAAAGCAAAATGTTCTGAAAGTAGAATATTATTGAACGAAATTTTATGTATTCAATACTATAAGGAATAAATAAGGAATAAATTGGCATTTACTTTGAAAAAACTAAGGTGTACTGGTTATATCTTAGTCATGTAAATTTCATTTTGAATGAAACCCATCTTTTGTCTTTTTTGAGTAGTTTTTATCATTTTTATATAATTAACAGTTTAAGAAGACAATATCATCATAAATCATTAAATTAAATTTTAAATTTATCTAAACAAATATCACCTTACAAACTGCTAATTTCCACCAAAATTGTGCAATAAATTGGGGAAACTATTGTTGATAATAACAAAGTTTGCGTTTCAAAAACGACAGTGGCGAGTCATAATTTTATAGGAAAATATAACCAACTTACCTCATATCTACGTCGCTAGTTCGAACTCAGGCTTAATCTATATATTAAATGCCATTTCTTTAATACGTTTTAGTTTCAATCTTAATTTGTTCAGAAAATATGTATTTAGATGTAATACTTTTTTCTGAAAATTTAAACGCTCTGTATCTTGAAAACCGTTTTTAAAATAAGTTTATTTAACAAAATGCACTTATTTTTTATTCCTCTGCACATTCCTGAACTTATGTAGATCAAATTCAGTACATCCTATAAATCCAGTATGTTTAAGAAAAGAGTACCATAAATTCAGGACCTGGAAAAATTTTTCTGGTGTCATTAATGTTTTGTTTTTGAGATTCGGGACATCTAAAATGATTTTTCCAACTCTAATTTTTCAAAAAATTATATATTGCACTGAAATTTAGCTAAGGTAAGTTCCTGAAGGTGTTAAATATGTTTGCTGTTAATAATGAAAAACCTCAGCTTACGTGAAAGACTAGTTGAAATTGCTGAAAATGCAAACATTTTCAGAAAGATATAACCGACTACCAAAGTCGGACATAATTATGGGGCGTCTTCCTTGAAATGTTATCGACCATCAAAAAAAAATTTTTCGGTTCAATTTAACAATATACTTAACTTTTTAAAATAACAAAATTTTTCTAAAATAACTTGATACAAATTGGTTTATTTTCATCGAAGAAAGCTACTCTTAAAGTATGGCTCATTTGTTTCCGGATATTCTGTATATTAAAAAAAACATAACTCACTATGTTTCAAAAACAAATGACGATAAAACTATGATCCATAGGAAGAAGTCTTTCTACTATGATCTGATCCTCTGTTTCTCCGTGAATTTGTAGTACCTCTTTCCAAAACATGCTGTATGTGATATAAAAATAAATTTGTTTAATAAGGACGTTTCAAATTATAATGTGGAGTTCAGTAATACCTACGCTCGAGAAAAATATGGTTATTTTTCCTCATTTTTTTATAATACCTATTAAATTAATTTATACATTCATTAATTTTCAGTACATCAATTACACCGCTTAAAGAGAATATTTTGATTCTGTTTCACCATGAAACGAGATCTTTGTTAAAGTTAATTGGCAACTAATAATTTAATAACTAAGTTAATAAATGAGGTGTTATTTTTTTACTTCTATCTTTTATTTGTTCGATATAGCACAGTCTACAATTATCTTAGATCTGATCTCAAACGGAACAAGTTTTTGCTACTTTTTATAATATTCTTGTCCCATTGCATAAATTTTCAGCTAATGTGACCAACAAAGTGATCTATATTTATCAATAAAGTAGCCTTCGTACAATCCTTGTGTATACTAATGAATACAAATTTTGTTACAACTACAATAATATTTAAAAAAATATATTAGAATGGTTTTAGTGATATACGTACCTATCCATTAAATCATTATAAAGATTAACTATTAAATGTAAAATATAGGAATGAGCATTTAGATTATCTTAGTCTTCTAAACCTTAACAACAAAATTTTAATAGTAAAATTTTGATGGATTTGATTTAATCAATTGGAAGAATAATTTCGAATCATTATTATTGTTTAAATACCAAATTTCTTATTTTCTGCAAATACATCCATACAATGCAAAGTTTTCTTTTTGTTCTTATGAGGGGCACCCTGTATATAAAGAATAACAAAATTTAAAAAAATTAAATTTATTCATGCATTATCTTTTAGGACTTGATAATTTCAAATAAAAAAAAACTTATTTTTCTGCGAGACGAATGCTACTAGAGACTTTTTAAATTAATTCAACCAGGTAATAAGCTTATTTGATGTCGTCAATAAAACTAAAACTTCGGAAACGACTATGTCTTCGAATAAAAGATAACTACCCTTTTTTTAGAAATATCACGAGAAATTAAATTTGCTTATTCAATTTCCAAAATAATTAATTCCTTCGAAATTTTGAGGTTCTTGTTAAGAAAGCTTTTCAATATCTCTGGCACTGGGTGACATATTTTGTAATTTACTTTAAATTTATTCTTGCCTTTAATTGGATTCATTAGATTAAGTTTTATCTATTTTTTAAAGCTACATCATACATCTTCAGAGATATTTGAATAAATATAATTGTTTTAATTTAAGCACCCTGTATTTGCCATCGCCAAAGTTAAGTACGTGAAGTTCGGAACTCTCTGTATTTAGATTCAAAATGAACAACATATTTGTTTAATCAAAATAGGCTTTTCGCGACTGAATATTGGTGAATATCTGACTTGTAGTTACTATTTCTATCTCTTTTGATCTTATTGTTAGTTGTCATATGGTAGCTTAAATTTCTTCACTTACTCATGCTACACATATTACAACATACAATTAATTTCACTCGCGAAAAAAGCCTCTTATTTTAAAATTAACAGTCTTCCGTTAATTGTGTCCCATTCTTAATGAAACACTATAAATATTATTTTGTAATACCCTTTGGAGATACCTATGTATTATAGACAGAGCCCCTATTGCTAACCAACATATTGACCTTTATCTCTTTTCATTTCGCAAAAATAGAACATTTATTGCTTTTCCATTAATTCATATAACAAACTTTTGAATGAATCAAGTAAATCAATGAATCAGAGTAAAACTATTTTTTGTAACTACCTACAACTTGACAGAGATGCGCAAGTCAGGAAGAAAGTCCGCAATAGGAGTGACAAAGACAGGAATCCTTAATGGTAGGGCAGACATCTTCTGTGTAAAAATTTTACTTGGGTATAATAGTGAATTATCTCTGTGCCTGTGGCGGACTATATGAATTTAAAGCAAGTGTGTATAATTTAAAATTTAATAATTTATTTTGCTAAGAAATCAGTCAAACTACAACTCCTACCAGATGGTGATCACTGTCTTCTATTAATTCTGTTTCTGTTTTCTCACTGTTTTTTCGTTCAGTTTGTTTCAATAACATACATGCATCCAATTTTGTGATATGGGAATTATCACACGAAAAAAAAACAACAATTGTTCAATTTACTATTTAATAAGTTATTTCCATAAAAAATCAGTTACACATCAACTAAGACCCTACCAGATGGTGCGGGCGACAACACTGTGAGCGGCATAAGGGGACACAATAGGGGCGCTGTAGGCAGCCACAGCGGGAGCGGCGTATGCTGCAAGAGCAGGGGCGGCAAGAGTCCTTCCGGTAGCGATGGTTCCTGAAGGTCCAGCTACTAAGGTTTGTTCACCGACTAATCCACCGCCTACTAAAGGAGCAGAGTAAGCTGAAACTACTGGGGCGGCGCCATATGCAGATACCAAAGGAGCACCTGTCAGTACACCTGCATTAGCAGCGGCAAAAACGGCGAAAAGAGCAACCAGGACCTATGAGAATTTAATTACAGCTATCGTGTAAAAATATTTTTCAAGAATACTTACGAAGGAATTCATTTTGGTTATATCGGTATTGTTCCAGTAGCTGAAAATTAACTGATAAATTTGTCATAGACCCGGATCGTTTTATATTAAGGTTTTAGTGCGTAACCTTGTCATTAAGATCTATTTTGCACGTGACGTCATATAAGTTGTCTTGTTTTTACACTCAGCTTTGTTTCCTGAATAAAATTAAAATATCGAAACATTACTAATGAAATAATTTAACTAATTTACATATATATGTATAGAAAATCGCTTACCCATGTATCTAAAAATGGAAACAAGGATAAAAAACATCTGACAACGGTAACTATTGCAAATAAGTAACTGTAACAAATAAATTTAAGTATATTCAAAGGTAGAACTTAATATTGGACATGTTACAATACGATGAGATTAGCGGAAAATAAAATAATCAAGTCTAACACCAATAGTTTTGTATATACATATTACATACATATGTTACTACATCCTCAGTATCTTCTATATTTACATTACAATACAAAGTACGTTGATTCTTAAATAAATGTCTTAGCTTTTAGGTACACTATAATAATAAGTACAATAATAAATTATTATTATCATCTTTCATAATAAAATATAACATAACCTGCTATTCTTTGATTGATTTAACTGATATATAAATAAGTTTTTCTTCTCATTTCTGTGGTGTGTTCTTTTTATATACGAAGGTGAGACTTTCTCATTCAAGTGATTTTTTATCTCATGCCGAAAATGCTAGTTTCGTCTATGTTCTATGAAATGAAAATGTCAAAATTGTGACTTAATTATTACAATAAACTGAATGTGCTTGATATTCTTATAAATATATTCATTTGGACGGAATATATTTTGTAAATACCTAAATATACCTACTTAAAAAACTAAGGTGTAAAACGTCTCACTTCACTGAAAAAAAATATTTGGATCAAATGAGCAGATAGTTTTAAATAGAATTATTTGCCGTAAATGTTATTTTATTCTATGCAAATGTATATACTTTCGTCAAACTATATGAAATATTTGCTTTAATCTATAATTTTTCTTAGAATTTATATTATTTTTGTAAATATATACAGGGTGTCCGGTAAGTACCTCCTAATCTCTCGGGAGTGTATAGGGGAGGTCAAAATAAAACTAGTCCTTCCTATAATTTTTTTTCCTAATGTGCCCCCTAACGGAGGTATGGGGGGTCAAAGGGGTACATAGAAATTAACGTTTAGGGTTATAACTTTGAAACCACCCTGTATATTTTAATAAAATTTTCGTACGTTGTATTACACATGGAGCTCTACGATTTGATGCTATTATCATTTGTCCAGAAACGGACTGGCCCTATCACAATTTTTCCCAAAATTTTGACAGAAGTAATTTTATCAAACTGAAAATATTATTATTAGATACTCTGAAGGTTTTTCTTTAAAAATGGTACTCTTTATTTATTTCGAAAAAATGAACGGTTTGCGAGATAAATCGGTTTTGAAAAAAATTGGTAACAAATACAACAACAATTAAAATTTATTTTTTTACAATAAAATCATTCCCGCTAGTGCCAGCCTACAGATTCACCATAAACATTTACTGGTGGTGAATTAAGGGAATGAATAATGCCGTTTCTTGTAAAATCAACATCTATGACCAAAATACATCTACAAATTATTATTGCTCTTGTCTCCATGGAGTTCTTTTCTATTGTTTTCGTTGTTAGACCCTGTTGATTTTAAAGTACTTGTCAAAGGCGCGTGACAGAATAAAAATTCAATTTTATTGTGGTATTCGTTTTAAGCCGTTAGAAATAACATTTAAAAATGGAAGAATATTCCTGTGCAGAATATGCTGATATGCACCTAATTTATGGGGAAGCATTATGCAACTCCGTGGAGGCAAGAAGACTTTATGAGGAAAGGTTTCCGGGTCGACATTTGCCGAGTCCAAAAACTTTTGAAAGAGTTGATCGTAGTTTAAGAGAAACAGGTAAAAAAAAATAGTGAAAAACGTTAGTGAAACTAATTTCTTCCGAATCCTTTATTTAGGAAGCTTTTTGCCACGCCGTGGTGGAGCAGGAGCCCCGAGGAGAGTACGAGACCCTCATGTAGAGGAACAAATATTGGAAGACGTTGCTAATAATCCTTCAAATAGCATAAGGAAGCTTGCGGCGCAAAACAATGTTACAAAATGGGCTGTACATGAAACTCTGAAAGAACAATTGCTTTACCCGTACCACATCCAAAAAGTACATGCTATGTCTCCAGATGATTATCCAAAAAGACTTCAATACGCCAATTGGTTTTTACAGCATCATATTCGGAATCATAATTTTGGTACATCTATTTTGTTCACCGATGAAGCAGGTTTTACAAGAGACGGCATAATTAATTCGCATAATCTACATGTCTGGGATGAAGAAAACCCTCACGCTTTAGTTCAAACTCGCTACCAACAAAGGTTTATGGTGAATGTGTGGGCTGGCATTATCGGGAATCATTTGATTGGTCCATTTATTCTGGAGCAAAGACTTAATGGTGCTCTTTATTTGCAATTTTTAGAGGAAAATCTAAATATTTTGTTAGAAGAAGTGCCCCTTCAAATAAGAACTGAAATGTGGTACATGCATGACGGTGCACCACCCCACTTTGATCGTTTAGTACGTCAACATCTGACGAATGTTTTTGGTGATCGATGGATAGGTCGAGGCGGACCTGTATTATGGCCACCTAGGTCGCCCGACCTAAACCCATTAGACTTTTTTCTGTGGGGTCATTTAAAAAATAACGTTTATTCAACACCCGTAAATAGTAGAGAGGAACTTCTGCTGAGGCTAACACAGAACTGTGACCATCTCCGCAATAATCACGGAATATTATTTCAAGTGCACCGGGAAAACATTCGTAGGATTAGAAAGTGCATTGAAGTACGGGGTGCTCATTTTGAACATCTACCGAAGTAACATTTAGGTACCTTTGTTCATTGTTGAATGTTCTTTGTTGCATGTCTTGTAAGTAAGTTATTTTTCAAATGTTATTTTTAATTGGTCACTACTTGCTCATAAAGTATAGCCAACCCGTTCAAAGATTTCTGGACTTGATAAAGTTAAAGAAATTAAATGCATGAAATAATATGTAAAAAAAATAAATTTTAATTGTTGTTGTATTTGTTACCAATTTTTTTCAAAACCGATTTATCTCGCAAACCGTTCATTTTTTCGAAATAAATAAAGAGTACCATTTTTAAAGAAAAACCTTCAGAGTATCTAATAATAATATTTTCAGTTTGATAAAATTACTTCTGTCAAAATTTTGAGAAAAATTGTGATAGGGCCAGTCCGTTTCTGGACACCTGATAATAGCAAAAAGTTGATTTTAGCATCAAATCGTAGAGCTCCATGTGTAATACAACGTACGAAAATTTTATTAAAATATACAGGGTGGTTTCAAAGTTATAACCCTAAACGTTAATTTCTAGGTACCCCTTTGACCCCCCATAACTCCGTTAGGGGGCACATTAAAAAAAAAAATTATAGGAAGGACTAGTTTTATTTTGACCTCCCCTATACACTCCCGAGAGATTAGGAGGTACTTACCGGACACCCTGTATAATTTTATTCAAATCTTTTATAGTTTTGAAATTTATTATCTCGGATTTTAGCTACAATATCTCTTGTTTTGAAACATATTTGTTTCAAAACTACCAGTTCCTTAAAATATATATTATATATTTAAAATTTAGTACTAATGTAACTATTCAAGACAAATGTAGCATATTATAATCAAACTTTTTCTTGAAAGAAAATTGTAGTAGGTCACAGAATGGCATAGGTGGGAAGTAGCACGATAGATAGGGTCAAACGATACATTAATATGCAATACAAAACATGTTTCTATAAAATCTATGTATATCATAAAATTAAGAATAGAATTCGCTTAACCGTATCAACTATTTATTTTAAATGATGTCTGTTATATTTCTGGGTAGAAATTTAAAGTATTTAAATAAATAAATAATTTTCTTGAAAGAAGAAAATATTTTCTTGCGTATATGTAAATGTGCGATACCTTAAAATGAAATGTACATTTGAAGCAAGAATTTTTTTGCGTGTAGCTGCTACTTTTAATAGAATGCATATAAGGTGTACCGAATTGCAAACGCCAAATTTTACCTTGTGACAAAACCCCTTAGGTAAAAAATATAAGCAAATATCGCAGAATCCTTCATTTTCGGCAAACAAAGTGTTGAAACTAAAAATATATATCACATTTTTTAAATATCTCTTAAAATGACGGAGATTAATGAAACCCTCAATAATGACTTAACTAATTATGGGTAAATATTTGTTGAAGTAATACACAATTCTGTCAACCAGTGACGGAAATACTGGGAGATAACCGAAAATTATAAATATTCTGGAAATTGGACAAGTGCATTTAATTCCTGTTGGTGATTCTAAGAAACAAGATGTTTTTAATTTTATTTATTTTAAGCTATTTCTTTAAATTTAAGATAATATTTCAATGTAGACGAATAAAAATTAATTTTAAACCATTTTACAAACAAAAATTATAGGTGTTTCCTATTTGAAAAAACATGAAAAACTACAAAACTCTCAGATGAAGGAACTTAAATTTTCTGAGGGTTAATTCCCCAATAAATTCGAAATTACTATACCAATTATTTTTTAAGTCACATTGTACATTGTCTTAATGTCCATAATTAGATAAGTTCTACCACCTACGTTTATATGAACTTTTTATTTTAAGATATTCTATCACAAGGTAAAATTTGAGGTATGCAATTTGGGACGCCCTGTATATTATTAAGTGGAAACAACTGAAAAAATAATTTCTAACTCGACGAAACACATTTGTCCCACTTGCGACTAACTAACAATTTGTTCACTCATAAAAGAATCCCATCTCTTTTTATATTTTGTATATTTTATACTACCTTTTGCTAAAAAATTTCGAATTTTATGTTTTTTTCTCTCTCAAACATATTTGTATCCAAAAAACCAATACATATATCCACAAAATTTTTAATTGCGAAAGTTAATTTTGCAATTTTAATCTATGTGTATTGCTTCCATAGACATAATGCATCCTAAAGACAAGGTTGTTTAAAATATATTTGATATAAAAGGAGTGGTTTAGTGACACTGAGTTATCAGTTAACTTTCAGCCACTGAAACCAAACCAGTACCAGAATGAACTCCTTAGTAAGTATATTTGATAATTGTTTTATATTTTTTTATGGTTAATTCACAAAAAAACTATTTATTTAACATATATTTAAATGAAACAAAATACGTAAAAACTTTGGAATCAGAATATGCAGTTACAAAAACAATTGGACATTAATTTAAAAAGAAATCCTAAAAATTCGCAGCCTGTATTTATTTTGCAAAAAAAGGCCACATTACCAACACATAAACACACATTAGTGCTAGTAATTCGTTCTCTAATACTCAGGTTTGACTGGAAATTGAGTACTTATTGCTAAATTTTGACTAAATATTTTACTTTGCATGATATTTTTGATATGATATGCCGTGCTACAATAAGACAAACAATCAATAAAATATAAATTTTCATTAGTAGTTTAGGGCTATTTCACAAATTTGAACTGTAAAATAGAATTCCCGACCTTTGCTAAAAACTATTTATCAAATATGTGTAAGATAAATTAACAGCCATGTTTCTTTAAGCAATAATTGTTTAATTTCTTCGAATCTTATTATTTAATATTTTGAAATTTTTAATTAATATTTTTCTGAATATTTTGCTCCTAAAATCACACTATACATCACTAGATCCGTAATTCAAAATTCTTTTCGATGCAACTACTTATAAAAAAATATATGGGATTAGTAAAAAATAAGAAGTTGAATAAACAAATGACGAAAAAGTTTGTAATATGATATAAGTATATAATTTTAAGATAAAAAATGTACTACCTTTTTTATCTTGAAATCAGTTTCTTGGTTGTATATTTTTGAATTGATGCCCAATGGGCTCATTCAGCAATTTTTTTTATTTGCTTAACGAGAAGATATTGCAATTTTAAGGTTCTCTGCAAAAAAATTGAATTTATATCGTCCATAAGTTATCCAAAAAAAAAATCATAAACTGGCGCGCTGAATATCCGCTGAACCGGCGTGTGTGACGTCACCGCATGGGAAACGGATGCCGCATGCTTGCGTGTGTTGTCAGTCAGTCGGGTAGTCGGGTTTTAGTTGTCTATTAAGTTTCGATTGAGTACGTTAAGATACCGAATTTTGTTAGTAATATGGAAGACACAGAACAGAAAAAATTACAAATATTTTATTGTTCCCGTGTTGACAGCACTAGTGTGAAGAAGCCTAAAAAAATAATAATGTCCCCGTAATTCTGTCGTGCGTATCTAAAATCAGTATAGTCTATTAGTCTCTAATCTGATATGTTTTTTTTAATATCTTTTATTTGAAAAAATGACTTATTTTGAAAGCAACAAAATTACCCTGCACTAGTTAGGTATGTAATAAATACGTTTGTATCCTCTAGAAAAACTATACACTTATGTTTTCCACTGTTGATTTTTTTTTGTGAATATTATATAAAAATATATAATAAATATTATATTATTAATATATTTATAAGATTTTATGTACTTTCCATGGGAATAAACATAGTAATAAGAATTTTGTATTTGATTAGGTAAATCTTTTAAACCAGTGACAGAAACGGTTTCGTCCAATTAAACGCAAAATCCTTATTCTTATTTACTATTCTTATTGTACAAAATCATTAAAACTTTCGCTACAAACGTACTTTAAAGAAACTTTACACGTTATTGAAACGTAACTTTTGCATTTTCACTCGACTCATTTCAGCACTGTTAAAGTCGTGGTTTTTATTAAAAAAATCCATAACCATTAACAAACCTACTTCTGCCAAATTAGAAGAATCAGCATTTACGAAATTTGCTTCAATTTTTTAAATTTAATATGCACAAACGCTAAAACATTCTGTAGATGCAGAAACGTATCTGGAAGTAGCGCCAAACCGGCTCTGGAAACCGCTCAACGGATTGAGTTGAAATTTTCAGGATCGCCTAATCATCAGCAATATTTTATGTACACAAAATAAGAACGTTTTTGAATGACCCCATTGTTCCCCTGATTCCATATTCTGATAGCACAGGACTTTTATATATGCCTATATTTTGTTTTATATCAATAATCCTGTGCAATTTTAAACTCGTGTGTTATGATAATTTGGATTACTTTTAAAATGACTAACGATTACTGAAACTCTCTGGATGAATAATTTCTACTGTAACTTCTATGTCACAGGTCTTTGTTGCTCTCTTGGCCGTCTTTGCTGCTGCTAACGCAGGTGTACTGACAGGCGCTCCTTTGATATCTGCCTATGGCGCTGCACCCGTAGTATCAGCTTACTCTGCTCCTTTGGTTGGCGCTGGCTTAGTCGGCGAACAAACCGTAGTCGCAGGACCCTCAGGAACTATCGCCACCGGAAGAACTCTTGGCGCCCCCGCCTTTGCGGCATACGCCGCTCCCGCTGTGGCTGCCTACAGCTCTCCCATTGTGTCCTCTTATGCCGCCCCCGCAGTTGTCGCCCGCACCATCTGGTAGGCGTAGGTTTTGTAATAGTGGCTGATTGTTTTACAAAATAAATTATTGGTTCCTAAACTCAATTCGCTTACTTTTATTTCTATATATCAATATTATTAAAACTGATGCATCAGATCAGTTTTTTTGCAGCACTATAAAAAACATTTAAAAAATATGCAACAGGCGTTTTACTATATTTGTTTAATCATTACTACCTGAATCACGGAATCGCATCTGCCATTGTACTACAGTAGTAAATGACAAGAGACTAAAAACTAGTTCATTCACCCTTAGTGTAATATTGAATCATACAGTCTAATTTAAGTTAAATAAAATACATGAAACTTTACAATAACTATGAGTTATATGCCACAATTATACCGGATGTTAATCAGCCTGCCAAACTTCATAACTAGATTGTACAATGAGATCGAGAACGATTGACCGGATTCTGAACGTACCCTGTTTCAATTGCTATCAAAACTGATTTCCGTTTGCTAAAATTACTTTTTTCCCATGCGATTTCATGGTGTTCTGTGGCGATTTCACAATTTGACGTTCTGTTCATTGGCGCACGGATTTTTTGGCTTGAATATTATTTTGTAGATTTTGTTGTTACCTGATATATTTTGCGACATTATAAAACAGTATTTTTCAATACTACAGTTAGAGTAGGTGGATATTATACGTGAGTAATTAATTTATTGCGTATGTTGTTCTCTAACCTAATCGGTTTTTTAATTTAGGTTAACATGGCATTTTCATTAGAACATGATAAATTTCTTCTGGAGGCCTATTTTCGTAGTGGACAAAACAATGGTAATGGTTGGAAATATTCGATGAATTCGTGTCATTTACAATTTCAAGAACAATTTCCAAATGATGAAATTGATTATGAAATTTTTTCGAGACACGTGAAGAGATTAGTGGAACGCTTCCATAACACTGGAAGTGTTTGTAGAGGAAAATCTCCAGGCAGAAAGTCTATTCTTACAGAGGAAGTCTTGGAAGATGTTGAAAACCGCTTACGAGCTAGTCCAACCAAATCACTACGTCGGTTATCTGCTCAAACAGGTACTTAATAACAAATATTTATTCTAAAATTTGTATCATTATTCCTAAATTGTTTATAGGAATATCATATGGATCATGCCATAAAGCAGTAAAGAAGTTGCATTTTCATCCTTATAAAGTTAGTGTTGTGCAGGAACTACTTCCGTTAGATTTTGGAAAACGTGTGCAATACTGTAATTGGTTTAACGAAAATCTGAATGACGACGATATTCTAGATCTAACATTTTTTTCTGATGAAGCGTGGTTTCATTTAAGTGGGTACGTAAACTCCCAAAATTATCGCTCTTGGAACACAGAAAACCCTAATATTTTGCGTGAAACAACTCTGCACCCTATTAAACTTGGTGTTTGGGTAGCTATGTCACGTAGAAGAATAATCGGACCATATTTTTTCCGTGAAAATGTAACTGGGCAGGTATATCGGCAGCAAATATTGTTACCATTTTTTGAGGAACTTCACGACGATGAAATCCATCATGGATACTTTCAGCAAGATGGCGCAACAGCTCACACCTCTAACGAAACTTTAGAGTTGATTAGAGAGTATTATGATGATCGAATAATTAGTCGAGATAGATGGCCACCACGTTCTCCTGACCTTACACCCCTAGACTATTATTTATTTGGTTTTTTAAAAAATTCAGTATTTGCTCAACGGTTACACACGATTGAAGAACTTCAAGAGGCAATTACAAACGAAATTAGGAGTATTACACAAAATGTTTTACAGAATGTATTTAATAATATGAAAAGAAGAATTAATACCTGCTTGAACAACAATGGACATCATATTGAACATTTATTGTAAAAATATAGATATTTTTATGGATTTTATGTAATTTTAAGGTAAAATATTCAATAAAATGTGAAAAAATTCCAATTACTCTGTTATTATATATTGCATGTAACTGTTGTTTATTGCTCTCGGTCATACAGACAATCCTACCATCTAACATAATCAAGCACTTCCAACTGCTTGCATTTGCTTGAAGCAAATTTTTTTAAGACACTTTTCCTGAATTTCGACAGCTAACTAAAATGTTCAGCATAAATTTTTGGGCTGGATCGCTTGCGCTGGATATTCAGAAGTGTGAAAGCAGTAGCTGCAAAATAGTCGTCTTATAAGCATACAGCAGTTTGCTTTGATGAAAAACAGCAGCTTGCAGCGTATCGCTGTATAGCTGAATCGTCTTAGATGCCAAGAATGTAGCCACAATAGTGCTTCTGTTTTAAAATTAACTCATAACGTTTTAAAAATAAAATCGCTGAAGCACTTACAGTCGTTATTCAAAATTAGCTACATCAAACTTTGATTTAAAAGTTTTTCTAATTGTAAATGAAATAAGAATTTTGGAAAAGTTAGGCTAAACCTACATTTGATTCTGTCATCCTCTTTAATAATAATAACAATAATAACATTTATTGGTCCATCAGTATTGCTTAATTTGTGAAATAACTTTGATTTTTGTTAAATAATTGATATTTTTATTATGAATTTCCATTTTGACAGTAACCTAATTTATTTGACGTTTGAACGTAATTATTTGTTTACCATTAAAATCCCTCAACCTGCGCCCATGATTCTAGTATTGGTATCAAAAACTGGTATGCCGCACATCAAAGATCAGTATGAGGCGGCACGGTCAATCATTCTCGATCACCCTGTACAATCAAAATAAGAAAAATTGTAATATAGGATTGGAAATGCTTCCTAAGAAAGCTGCAGCTCATAAAATACGCTCTATCCGAAATAAATCAAATTTTAGTGAACTACTAAATATTTTCTTCTCTATATGCTTAGCAATATGTCGGAACTAATGCAGTGGGGTTAAATACTATTCAAGGCTGTAATGGGTAATTTTAGTTAGTTATTTCAGAAATTTTATATATTTTGTTTTGTTTTTTTTTACAATAGAAAGGTGCTCTTGTTGGACTTTGATAGGATGTACTATTTTCATGTAAAATAATTTTTTTCAAATTTACACATCGTATGAAAACATGTCAACAAATCTTTCGTAGTAGCCTACCACCAGATTTTATTTTTTAGAAATAAGAAAACAGTTCTAAAATAAATGCAGGTCCGATGAAGGCAGTAGAGACAGTTTTTTCCTTCAACTCATCAGTTGTGGCCTATTCCCAAAGCGAATTTTAAAATAGTTACCTACCGATCTCATTGAGAACAAAGTAGTAGATCTCTAAAATTTCATTTATTTGTTTCTATAAGTTCCGAAGATATTTTATGAAAACATTCCTCAGAGTCTGCCTTAGAAAAGGAAATTTTCGTGTCTATTTTTACACAAACTTTTTCTTTGTTTTTGAAGATGGAGTCTAGTGACGAAGTTTGACAGGCTAATTTATGATATGTATGATTTACGCAGTACGTAAATTTGAAGATGAATTTAGTAATATCTAAATATGACTTTAATATGCCATGGTCGCCACAAATTTTCAGACTTATATTGAAGTTCCTTAACTAGGAATCAAGACTCAATGGCGACATAACCTTTTCAGAGTCACTATTAAAAATGCCGACGATGAAAAACGGCGAAACGTGTGGAAGCATTGGACCAGTTACAAAGGTCACGGCAGAATGTCTCAGAGAATCACCATTGTCTGAAGAGCAGTTCCGCTTGTAGCGACCTTAGAACAAACAACACCACTCGAAATTAACAATAAAATAGGCCTAGGTATTCTGATAGCGGGTCCTCCCCCACAGAGCCTTGCCCTAGAACAACAAAGACAGGTCAAACGTTCCTAGTTAAGGCTAAGGAATTGCAATGTAAGTCTGTAACTGGTGGCATAAATAAACCAGAGCATACAAACCCGAACAGGCAGCACAGGCCGTGAAAGCCTTAAATCTACTATAACTTAGATAATTTTGTTAAAAAAAAAAATGCACAAATGTGCAATATATCGCACCATGTATATTTGTCACAAAAAAAGTTATATAGTTACACAGGCACACGAAAAGAAAATGTCAAGACCCAGAGGGTCGCTGAAACAGAATATAAATATAAAAAAAATTAACTAGCCATTTTCCCGTTACCACCCCCATACACCCCCTTCTGGGAGTTGAAATGTCAATTCTCATACAAAGTCGAGTAGGGTGAGTATTCCTATGTTTTCTGGGCCACTAAGAACGAAGAAGACTACCAAAAATGAATGAGACCCCCTCGTTACCCACTAACGTCACTTTACCACCCCCATACACCCCTTTATGTGGGTTGAAGTGTCAATTTTCATACAAAGTCGAGTGGGTTGTTTATGCCTACGTTTTCTACGCTGCTGAAAACGAAGAAGACTACCGAAAACGAATTCAACCCTCTCATCAACCCTCAGCACCATTTGCCACCCACATACACGCCCTTATGAGGGTTGGAATGGCAATTTTCATACAAAGTCAAGTGGGGTGTGATTCGGGGTAACTTTTGAGACAAGTATCCTCGTCTTTCATAGTTCAGGGTACTTTTCCAACTGTAAGTCCCCTCGCCTTTCCGAAATCGGAGTAATTTTTCAACTTTCCAAGGGGTGTTCGTGTGAAAACCTAACAGTTCGTGAGAAATAATAGGGTTCACCGGTTGAACAATCGTGAGGGGTGAAGGAACTTATGGTTGAGAAAACACACTGATTCGTGAGAGGCGAGGGGATTTACAGTTCAAAAAATACTTTTTTATGGTCATATTCGGTTTTAGCGACCCCAAAAAACGGAGTGGTAGGGGGTCTACCCACTGGGCATTGAAATTTTGTTTGTGCGCCTGTGTTATTTTTGAAATAATAACAAATTTAATAATACGATCATATTATAAATAAGGCTTTAATATCTACCTAAAGTATTACTTATCTATACATACATATAAGTAATACACTGTGTAATATGTTCATATTTTTACAGCTGTAGTAAGCAAGTCTAATAAGCAATTTTGCTGTGTTCGTTCCAGAGGGGTTTTGCTTAAGAATTATAATTTTTCAATTTCAGAACATCAGTTCCATAAGATATTTTAAAAAATAA